GTGTGTGTCTGTTTGTCTCCCCTGCATCTTTCTACACATAAAATAGGAAGTAATAAATTGTGGTGTCAGCGATTAATTATGTCAGTCAATGGGCGGGGTTTACCTGGTTCCATAACAACGTCCATCACAGGCAGCCGTGACTTGATATGCTCCACCCTCTCTAGCTCCGCCCCCTGCTGTCCCTCGGTCAGGGTGTGGTCCAGGCGGCCACACAGGTGAGAGCCCGGGAGGATCTGTGCACAGGTGAGGTGTTGCATAGTTGCTTTTGGTAAGTGTTTTACGGCGCTCACAACTGTATAAGGTCACATGAGCGCGTAGGACACATTAAGCATTTTCATTTTGTTAGGAATTAATTTTGAATTTTGCCCTGGTGGCGGCCGAATCCTGCTCATATCGATTTTAGACCACCAAAGGATCTTTGACTTTAACGTGCGCAATTTGTACCTGGGACCTCCGAGATTATTTCGCCCCCGTATGAGAAGGCTAGGTGCTAGATTTACCTGTCATATTTAGATCAGGGGTGTGGCTGAATGACAGCAGTAAGAAGGCACCAAGGAGTAGAAATAGAAATGCTGCAGAGAGAGTCAGGGGCCCAGAGGGCAGAAAATGTGGACGAAAGCAGAGCATGGTTAGAGAGCAGGAAGTTTCAAGGGAAATGAGGTGAAAGGAGAACCTTTTAGAAAGAAACATGTCTGTTGCTGTCAGGTTTCGAACCCAGGACTTATTGAATGGAAGGCGAACACCGTACCTCTAGACCATAAAAGCCTCCAAGGTGTTGGGTTTTTAAAAAATCAGATGTGACGTGTGCTTGTTTATTAGACAGGAGGTGTGTTTGTTGTCAGATGTGAAGTGTGTTTGTTTATTACATATGAGGTGTGTTTGTTATCAGATGTTAGGTGTGTTTGTTTATTAAATATGAGGTGTGTTTGTTATCAGATGGGAAGTGTGTTTGTTGGCGATAATGTGACGACGTTCTGTAGACCACATCACAATATAATTATAGGTCATTTCCCTCAGTCCCAAACGTGCACTCACGCACACGTACACGTATACACGTACTCAGGCATACATACACACACAAAAGTGTACAAAGAATCTCGCATACATTCACTCACACGCAAAACACATACTGATACACTATGCACACGCGCACGCACGTACAAAAAATTACTCTATCAAACTCACTGAAACACACATACGCGCACACACACACACACACACACACAC